GTCGTGACTAGTTAATGAAAAACTAATAATTAATTAATCAACACTAACCTCAGATTCAAGTTCCCCGACCTCGATTACCCTACCGGTAATCATTTTCTAACAACTATCGACCAATTTCATTGATTTTAGAAATGCTGATTTCTGATTGGATAGGACGGACAGACTGACAGACAGACAAACTTTAAGCTTTTGAACACAGCATTTAAACGTTGCATAACCCTTTCTTTCAGAAAAGGGAATATTGACATGTTTATTTTCTTTTGTGAAGTAAAAAATTATCTTTCATTCTGTCAAAGTATACGAAGCTATCGAAAATACAACTGAAAAATGGTCTTCACGATACGAAACAATTCTAAAAAGACCTTCCCAAATTTTTCACTCCCGCCTGATATCTTTCCCGCTGATCCATTCACATATCTTCGATTACTGTAGAACTAATTCAGCGGGCGAAGCTCATTCACAAATCCAAAACGTCTAGAAACAGGGTTTCGTCCAAAGCAACATGCAAAATTTATAGTTTCTGTTTCACTCTTTCCAGGTTTCTTTTAATCAATTGAAGGTGAGGATGTGTCGATGGCAACACTGCTTGAGCGATTTGAACCGCATTTGTGTAAAATAATAAAGCAGTCCGTTGATCACCCATGTGAGAATACGCATTACCGATGTTGTTGTAGGATGTAGCCACATCTGGATGATTGGGAGGAAGTGATTGTTCTCGTATTTTGAGAGCTTGTTCATATGGTGAAAGTGCCTTGGGATAATCACCCATGTCAGAATACACTGCACCGATGTTGTTGTAGGATCCAGCCACATCTGGATGATTGGGAGGAAGTGATTGTTCTCGTATTTTGAGAGCTTGTTCATATGATGAAAGTGCCTTGGGATAATCACCCATGTCAGAATACACTGCACCGATGTTGTTGTAGGATGTAGCCACATCTGGATGATTGGGAGGAAGTGATTGTTCTCGTATTTTGAGAGCTTGTTCATATGATGAAAGTGCTTTGGGATAATCACCCATGTCAGAATACGCATTACCGATGTTGTTGTAGGATGCAGCCACATGAGGATGATTGGGAGGAAGTGATTGTAGTTGAATTTTGAGAGCTTGTTCATATGGTGAAAGTGCCTTGGGATAATCACCCATGTTGTAATACGCATTACCGATGTTGTTGTAGGATGTAGCCACATCTGGATGATTGGGAGGAAGTGATTGTTCTCGTATTTTGAGAGCTTGTTCATATGATGAAAGTGCCTTGGGATAATCACCCATGGCAGAATACGCTGCACCGATGTTGTTGTAGGATGTAGCCACATCTGGATGATTGGGAGAAGATGACATCAAGCGAAGTTCAAGAAATTTTCGAAAAAGTGTTATTGCCTCCTCGTATTGTCCTTTGTGATATTTAATGTTACCCAGGGAATTATAGACATGGCTTGCAGAGTCTGCAGAAGGCGTTTCGTCAATTAGAACTCGACAGATTCGTTCAGCAATGTCTGACTGTGCTATGCCAGCGAGTACTAGACTCAGTCGTGACCATCCCTCTGCATTTGGAAAGCTTTCTTTTCGAATCTGTTCAGTAAGTACCATCAATTCTTCGTCATTGTCACTCGTCAATGACAACGCCACTTCGTACACTTTCTCATTTCCATCCATGGGCTTAACATCCCTTATGCGAAAGATACTGTGCATCGAAAACAGTACCTCTTCTTCTTCGGGAAACTGACTGATGTGACGAACCGAAGCGAATGACGTTGTTGATTGCTTTGTATCAATTGTGATCACAAATAGAACACTTATCACATCACTGTTCTTTGGATTCCCTGGAGTAAAAATAAGAGAAATGTTGCGATTCTCACTGGTAGACAGGAAATTATTGAACGACATCAGCCCACCTTTCGTTGCCATCAATTTATCAAAGTCTTTCTTCATTAAACCTTGACCACGGTAAACTGGAAAGCATTTAGCAGTAGGTGATGCATCACCAAACTGTTTTTTGTGCAATTCTTCAATATGTCGATGAAGGTCACTGATGAAAAAGCCCATCAATGTGATCACTTCACCATCCATCACTCGTAATGCACGATTCAGCATACCGTATAAAAATCTTTGTGTTGTATACCACCAAATAGGTGTGTGCTGATGATATTCGTCTTCCAGTTCTTTCACTTTCTTTCGATCGACTTCAGTATCAACGAAATTATCACAACAGTACTCCACGAATTGTTTGATGTGTTTATGCTTAAATTGAATTGTTAAAAGTATTTCCTTGATGATCTTTGTGTACATAAATGATGGCTCTAGTCGATCTAATCGTTNGATTGCTACCAGTCCTCAACTGAACCATGCCACTATGTCACACACTAGAGTGAATAGAAGACAGAGATTGTTCTTTTTCAGGAACCGAACCGATCAGCCATTTGCCAGTGAGTAATTCTCGGGAAGTAACTGTGTTGACTGAAAACCCCATCCCCCAATGGCTAGTCGCTCATGAACCTCCCTCCGGTCGGTCAGTCACGACCAGCCATTCACCTTTTCATCTGTTGTTCTATTTTCACATTTCTCGCATGAAAATTTTACACATTAGCCTGTCTCTTTTAGCAAAAATTGACTCTTTTCTCTGCTTTCAGCAAAATGATCCATTCTCCAATATTTTCATTGAGGAATATACATTTGCCAAATCTTTTTCAAAAATCGTTGAAGCCTGATAAGGCTATTCCAAGTGTACACTTTAAGATTAATCTGGAATTTAAACGCCAAGTCGTTCGTCGGCCTCCCTCCGGTCGGCCACTCACGGCTAGCCGTTGGCACATATACGATTAGTGTCTCATTCTCATACCGAACAGTTGACCCGCTCATAACCGATCGGTTTCTCATCCGAGATATTGAAACTTTACATAACAAGTAACACGGCCTAGTGGCCGCTAAACCCTCTACTGAAAGGATAGTATTAGAGCGCTACTATTTGTCCAAAGAGAGAAAAGTTATTTCAGTTGAACGATCTGATCATTTGATAATTTGTCAGAATGTTTTACTGGGACCAATTTCCCTTCCTGAAATCTTCTGAAATTATAATGCCTAGTCGTTTGCCGACCTCTCTCCGATCGACCACTCACCGCTAGCCGTCGGTACCTAATAAGTGCTTAATGATATTTTCATATTAAAAAGTATCTCGTTCTTGTTGAGTCCGTCTCTAGCAAAGTTGCCGAAATTCTTCACAACTTCATGACCTACAGTATATCTTTTATTAACATTTTTAGTTGAATAAGTCGATGATCTACATAGTTTTTTCTTGCAGCTCGAAAAGATGTCATATATATATACCTTAGAAAAATTATGGCCACTTTGCGACAGTCTTATAAACCTCACTTTTCAACTAATTTTCAAAAGAAACAACTAGTCGTTCGTCGGCCTCCCTTCGGTCGCCCACTCACGGCTAGCTGTTCCCATGCGTACTCATTTTACTATCTTAACTTCATTCGGACGAAGACACGTTCCGAAAATGAGTACATTTCAGAAAATCAATTCATAATCAAAAACTAAGAAGCTTTACCGACAAGGGGGAAAAAGCACTTTGTGATTTATGTGATTTAAATCAGTTTAAATCACCAAAATTCATTTTTTTCATATGACTTAATGTGATTTAAAGTGATTTATCTATGATTTTGCCGTGATTTAAATCAGCTTTTCTCCCCTTGTTTACAGAGCTATATGATTCTCTGGAAAAGGTTTCAATCTTCTCTCCACCATAAGGAACCTTAAATGGCTGCCACCTATGTTCGTGCAGAGCAACGATTAATTTCTGACCAAGAAATCTGAAAGCTCTATAAAAATCACAAAGGTTGTTCTTAAAAATATTATTCTGGAAATCGACGACTAGTCGCTCGTCGACCTCCCCTCTGGTCGGCCACTCGCGGCTAGCCGTCACATGTACATTTTCACTCTTCCATTTAGTCTAGAATCATTTTTGAAAGTAATCCATTCATTCTCTTCTATTCCCTCTTTAAAAGTCACCCTCTTTGTGCTACTGTGACTCTCGAAGACAACACCTGACAAGTGAAACATTATTTTGAATGACTGTTATCAGATGATATTCGTATAGTATAGCTGTTTCTAAAAGTGTGTGATCTCATTAATATGCTTATGATTATGGAGATCCAGCGATCGGACGTCAGGCAGCTATTACATTTTGCTCTACATATTGCCGCTTAAAACATTATCGTCTAAAAAATTGATCCTTTGTCGCAAAAAACGGGTCAGAAAATGTTCATGAAAAAACTAACACCAGATTCAAGATCCTCGACCTCGATTACCCTTCGGTCGACCCTTCCTCGACAACAAAGAAAATTTTCATTGCTTAATTAACTAATTAGCTAATGAGGTAATTAGAATTTCAAGAAACTAACCTTGGATTCGAGTTCCTCGATCCCGAAAACCCTTCGGTCAACCCTTATAAGCAAATATCTTTTTGCGAGAATACATCCTATTCCGCAATGTTGAACATTTGGGAACCAGTTCCGCACACGGAATCAGTTCCTACGATTCCGGAATTAACCCGAAGCAATTCCGGAATCGATACACACAATTCCGCGGAATTCCTACAAATTCCGGAATCGTAGGAATCGATTCCGTGTGCGGAACTGGTTCCCAAATGTTCAACATTGCGGAATAGGATGACTGCTCCTTTTTGCAAAAAAGTGAACCGTTGTCGCAAAAAACAGGATAGATAGTTTTTACGGAAAAAACTAATATCGGATTCGTGATCCTCGATCTTGATTACCTCAGGTGAATCATTTCCGTATGGTCATCTCTAAGGTTTCATTGGTTTATATAAAGCTGCAACCTGATTGGATTGGACAAACTCACAAACTTTTAGCTTTTGAGCCACCGATTTTAGAACGCTATAACCCTTTCTTTCAGAAAAGGGAAAAACAAATGATTTTAAACGACATTTTCAGTTTATTCAACAAAAATCTTTTACAAGAAAAAAAAATCGAAATCACATGAATTTCGACATCGAGGAAGAATCTGCAGTGGTGTTGGGATTGATTGGTTGGGCCAGAACGGTGACTTGATTGTCCAATTCCTTCAATGCTGTCTTGAATTCTTTAAGAAATTCAGCACCATTCGTGTTGTTCAGAGCAAATGACATGACGAGATCGTGTAGCTTTCCACTTGTTGATGCAATTAATTGAGTCATTTGCTTGAACTACAAAAAAAAAACAATCGTTAAATATCTGTTTTAATTGCAATATTCAAAGAGAAAAAATACTTCGTTCTCTTTTATAGCCATTTTTTCGATACTCTTGCTTCAGAAAATACAGTGAGTGACTGTTGGTAAAGAAAAGAAGAATAAAAATGAATGCTTTCTTCGTTCTGCCCGAATGTTTACCCTCAAGTTCATGAGTACGAGCGCAGGAAACAACTCAACCAATGGAAGAATGGTGCGCACAATGAGGGAGATAGTAGGATGGATTTAATGAGAATAAGTACAACGTTCCATTCGACCGATCTCTTTCTGGCTTTGGTGTATGAAACTACGCATAAAAAACTAACAACTAATATTCATTGTCACTCTTCGTACAGAGTATCGCCTACTGGCAATTTTGTCCTCATTTCCAATGCACGAGCGAAAACTCGAGTGAAACTGTACAAGAAATATTTCTGTAAATGAACCAAAATCTTCTTGTTCATTGAAAAATGCGTTTGATTGATGGTCCCTTAGTATTTATGAATCAATATGTCAAAGTCATCGTCAAGTTTTCGATGAACTATATTAATAGTCATAAGCGAACACAGAAAACATTTTTTCGATTATGCGCAAGTCCCGTTGTTGAGTTTACCGAATAGTTTCATCTCTTGTTTTTCAGTCAAATAAGTTTTCGTTTACTTCAATCAGGAGTTCCATTACGAAAGGGCTTTTCACACGAACAGCTATACGGCATTCACAAACTCTTTGATGTCTTCGAACGACGATGTAGCAAAAAATCGACAAGCTCAGTAGAGAAACGAATATTACATGAACGCTCAAGTTAAATTCAGCGAACTGATTTGTCGGCTCTCAATAGTTTGTGAACGATATTTTGAAAAAAAAACTTACTTTTGTATTCATTGAATCGACGGGTATTTGTACACGACAAGATAAAATAATCTCATTGTATTTCAATGAATGCACAGATCGAACATGGTTCCAAAAACTGTCGAATTGTTCACCGCGAAGTTGTTCATCTTGATAATACGGACACGCCCAGGTCGATCATTCCAGCAACTGGATCCGTTGAAATCTGAGTCGGTTTCGGTACAGCTCTTCTCGATTTCGGCGGCAAGGAAATGGTCGGAAAACGAACCTAACCAGCCGGAACCGACCGTGCCATAATAACCTGGGCGCAAGAGCACCAAATCGATCTGAAATGTCACAAAAGAGAAACTTAAACACAAGTATTTCAGTGTACTTACTCGGGTTATAACGATAGAAGTGCGAAAGAAGTTCTTCATCTGACATTGCGCAAAGAGTGAATGGAGAAATTATTGTCTAAAATCAAAGAGAAGAAAAACTTAGTTTTCGGTCGATTGCGTGCGTTTGTTATTATGAAATAGAGACCAAGAAGATCTGGCAAAAGTAATCTGAAAATCCGTTCAGTATCAAATTGGAAAGTGGTCGAATTCGATATCTAGTTGGGGACGAAAATTACGAACGATTAAAATGGGAGGATCGAAATGGAAAACACTCCCATGGTATAAAACTGAAGATGGCGCATCATGACAATATTCAATCTATCAGTACCATAGTGGCTATGGCTAGTGAACGATAGAAAAAAAACTACATTCATTTTTCGTGATAGAAAATCAATCAATTGAATTTGTAGGCCTCGATCTTGCACTTGAATTGGAAGACTAGGCACTTAATTTCCATCTGGTTTTCTTTTAATATTTGATATTGGCAGTACTGATTGTATGACATCCTTTTCTTTATCAAAATCATGTTACAACTTACTAGTAACAAACATGTCATAACAAGTTTTTTCTCAGTTTTATACAAAAAAATTACATTGAAAATGTTTATCAACATTTACCTATATGGTATGATCCCACTATGTGAATGCGTTATCTATGACACAAATCAAACAATTGATGACTTTCATCTTACTTCTTGTTCGATGATTTCCTTCAATGACATAATTTCCAAGTATTTCAAATTGTCATTATAATAAAATGAAATGAGATACTTTCCGCTTCAGTCTCATTCGATTCCCTTCAATTCGATTATTGGCGTATTTTATCCATGTTAACAATCGACTGTGCTTCAAATAATATCCTTTTCGCGTATGTCTCAACAAAAGGCAGATATTTTATCAGAATATTCTTTAATTAACTTTTATCAACATGTAATTATGACTTTAGCAGCGTAGAACGTTCTAGTCATTCGACACAAAATTTAATAAATTCCACTTTTGAGATATGCGCAACAAGCTTTTACTTCTTATAATACATGTCAAATTAGTCATTTATGTGCGGAAATGTCCTTTTTGATCACGACTTTGACGTGATGTTATTTGTATTCTAAAAGTCTTTGTTTGACATTTTCCTTCAGACCGTATCATAACACGTCTAATGATATATTTTCCTAGTAAATTAATCATTATTGCAAAGACCAGATCTATTTTTTGTATGAAACTGAATTTGTTCTGACGTTGACCTAACTCTGACTCTCTTGAAAATAATCTTTCCGGTCGTAACTACGCAGCTGGAATCGAATAAAAGATAATTATTATCTTTGAAAGCTCATCCATTGTGCCCGAGTAAGTCGCGACTTTGTCGACAGTCGTTTCCGGATTATCCATAAAACTTAATTTTATTCAGTAAACACACGTAGAAGAAAGTTATAAACAATTCATTGATTAATCATCGAAAGTCGCTTGATAACGTCGTTCAATTGCCGGTCGACTGATTCGAAACCACGAACAAATTGTTAATAATTGTAAAATTAGTACTAAAAGGGTAAAGAGCAGATCTTTGATTAGATTATGTTCAATCATTTGTGAAGACGAAGAAAGAATATCTTGGTAAACCGCATTGGATTGACAATAAATCATGAGAAAAATAGTGAAATGAAAAGCGTGATGAGATTGACCGAACAAATCGAATCCACCCGGGTAGAATCGTTCAGGAATTCTCCCAACGAAAATGAAGCCACTTAACACAAACGAAACAATCTGTAATAGATGCCAAAACAACGCTTTTTCTCCGTGTTCATTCAACTCTTGTCTCTCATCAGGAAAAACATATGTCAAGAATAACATTTTTAAGATTGGCCAAATCTGATAGAGATAAACAAGTAAAACGCCTGAGCACTGTAAACATTTATGTGAAAATGGATATGGCCGATGATAAAATATTTTACAAAAACACGCCATTGATAACGAATATAATGTAAACAAAGTCAATGTCATATAATACCGCGTCTCATCAGTCGACTAAATTAGAACAAATCTCATATGTCAATTCTATTCTTGAGAAAACCTTTTTACGTACTCGATCTTTAATATGAAAATGTTTTTGAAAAGAAAACTTGTAAAGAATTATTCCGGAAGTGAATCCATAGAAGTTAATTCCGAAATAATCCAAATAAAACGAACGTAAATGATCAACTAATGTTCTCGAATGAAGTAAATGTGCTTGAGCAGAACATAGAAGCATCAGACAAGCACCAAAAGAATTATAAAAAACATAAATACTAAGGATAATCGAATTTGTTCTTGATGGAAAATGAAATATCTGCTGAAAAACTTGTCCGATAAGGACAAATGTTCCGATTAAATGTATCCACACAGATAATGTTTCATTATGTAGAGAAAATAATGAACGACAGTAATAAGAATAGGGTTGATTGGGTAGACGAAAACCAGTGTGAATAAATGGTTCAACGTAAATATCGAAGACATCCACTGCTCGTAATAACATGATTTTTTTATGATTAAGAATAAACAGATGTTACGATGTATTACTCCAAAGTTTGTCATTTGGAAATGGAAATCTTTTCTGTTCACATCGATTCTCTGTCTTCTTCTCTTTTCAATGACATGTCGACAGACGGCAATGTCTTCTGTCGTTTAATTGAATGATCGTGATGAGATATAGAGAAGATTTTAATGATGAAGATTATCGTGACTTTTGAATCATTTGAAAAAGAAATACAAAGTCTTTACAAATTGACTTAGCTGTCGCTTCATGTCAACTAATACCAAATGATATTAATTAACGAAATTCAGATTAGATTTAATATTATTATACAAACATATATCAATCGACGAGAGAAAACTTCGTTTTTTTCTTCTCTTGAATATTTATCTCTTTTCATATGAGACTACTCATATTTGATAAATTTCTATACACTGAATAGTCTTTTGTTGGTGAATCAATCGACATTTAACAGAAATATCTGGTTTTAGTGCAAAAAAGTGGTGTCTTCTATGGTTATTCTTAATGAACTTGATTGACAAGAATATAAATAACAAACGAGAAAATATTTGAAGAAAAAACATTGGTCTCTCAAGACAAATTCATCGTATTGCGAACTGTCAGTCAACAATTGTGAGAAAAATTAACATGATCAGTTCTCCAAACATTTACACATCATTTTTCATTCGTAATTCCAATATTTGGACGATTTTTTTCCCTCAATATTGACGATCACTTCAAGAAGTTTGTGACATAGAAGACAAGAGGGTGTGTTATGTACCCATTGCATCGACCTCAACATTAATTTGTTTCTTTTCTTGTGTGAGAGATTTCCTTTCTGTCCCACCTACACGCTTTGTTTTGTTTAAATGAGATTTATCTGAGAAAATCCTTCGATTCGGTCGAAGCGACACAGGTAAAAGAGTCGAAAGTCGAATTATGTTAATAATTTATTTGTAGAAACCTGTCTATGTTTGAAATCAAGGTTAGACACTCATTGTCTATTCCGTAACATGAACATGTCAATAGAAATTGTTTGTTAGAAGAAGAAAAACGTAATTTTTTTTGTAGATCAACCCACCGACACTATCCTTACCCGAAAAAGGAAATGATTTGATCTAAAAATATAAATTTTCTTTGCAATTAGTTGTCACATTCTCTTTTTCTTTGTCCGTCAGACAAGGTTACCTTTTCTTTTTCTATGTAACGCATCAACCATCCACATCTCTCCAGTCTTCTCATCAAATTCCTCTAAAGATTTGTATCGTAAACCACAAATGCGCATTTTCCTCCTTATTCTAATGAGATTCAGATCTTATCCTTGAATTCAACAACTCTTCTCACAGCATATGTTCTTTTAGATTTTCATTTCATTATGGATCAGCTCGATGCAATCTCAAATCAAATTATGATCATCGCCGGTATTCTCATGTACATATTCGGTTCAATTGGAAATATTCTTAACATTTGGGTTTTCTCTATCTGGTCTCGTTCTCCTAATCAATCTCAAAAACACTATCGACATAGTCAAACAAGTAATAGTTCATTATATCTACTTGCATCATCTATCGCTAATCTATTTGTTATTATTTATCCACTTTTAACTCGAATTATGTTCGATGGTTATCATTATCGAGTTACATCAAACAATGTTCTTATCTTCTGTAAATTACGTTTCTATGTTTTACATACATTCGATTTAATTTCATTAATATGTATTTGTATGGCAACATTTGATCGTTATTTAGTTTCATCAAGAAAAGTTCGTTTGAGGAAATTGAGTACACGACGACAACAAACGAAATTAATCATTTTATTTCTGATTGTTTTAATTGGATTACATAGTGTACCTATCATGATCTTTTTCGATGTTTCATCAACGGGTAAATGTACAATTTTATCAACGAATTATTTGTATTATTATTTATGTACAATTCAAATAGTTCTTCATGGAATTATTCCGATTATATTTCTTTCCATATTTGGTTTATTGACATTTAAACAATTGAAAAGAATAAAAACGAGAAGTTATTCTCATCATCAACATTATCATAAACGACAAAGAGGAATTAGTAGTGATAAACAATTATCCCGAATGCTTTTGTTAATGTCTCTAGCAATCATTTTATCATCAATTCCATATTGTATCGAACAAAGTCTCAATGTTATGTTTATTCGAGATGATCGATTGAATTCGTCAGATTTTTTCTTCTTTCATGTTATATCTCATATCTTATTTTACACAAATCCAGTAACTAGTTTTTATATTTATTATATTTCCACTCCAAATTTTCGCATTCAAGTCAAAAGAATTATTTTTTGTCAAAAACGCGTTCATTATGTTCTCTATTATCAAGTTGCACGCGTTTCATCCACTCACAGTACATCCGTTAACATTTATAGTAAAACATCTCTTACCGAACGTTCCTCAAAACCCACAATTCTTTAATTTCTCAGGCTCAAATCGAACATTTTCTCATCGTTCTTGTATGTTTTTTGTTTAATTCAAAAATATCAATTATTGTTTCATTTCTCTTGACCAAATACTCGTCTAATTACTATATACGTCGTTTACTTTTCGAGACAAACTTAAGAGTTGGATCCATGTCAAGTGTATTGAAGAACACACCCACTTTTCATTATTTCAAAAGAACTCTGTTAAGTCTTCAGAAGAGATCATTGTATCGAACATATGAAGAAGAATTTCTAAAAATATCATCGAATTGCCAATTTCATTATATGTCTTCAAATCTGATTTAGAAGAACAACAAATCATGTTGATTCATTGCAGAAAATTTTGTCATTAAAGAATTTCTTACTAAGACAACGAATCATCTTTTGATTTAACTGTGAAGTAAATCTAAAAAGAATAATCTTTCTCATTTAAACAAAAAAGGAAGTTTTATGATTCTATTCTGTAATTTCTTCAATAGTTTATAACAGACAAAAGAGTTAAGAATGGTCTTCAATTATACTGATTATAAATCACATGTGAAAACACGTAAATGCAAATGAATATATCTGAATCTGGTTTTGTCAGTAACACTTTGTGTAACATGCGTTTTTTTGTTCTCTTTTTTTCCCTAAAGATGAAATTATGGAACTCATTTTGCTTATTTTTAATGAGATACTATCTTTTAAATGATATGAACATAGACATGACTTATGCTAATGCACTTCTCCGTTACTTTTTAATAAAATAAAACATTTTGCGACGATGCCTGTTGGTGACATTTTCTTTCAAGCTTTTATTTAATTTATTTAAAATGAGTAAGTCAACAATTGATAGTATTGAATTAATTTCTCGTCAGTTATTGATCATTGGTGGAATAATAATGATCGTTTTGGGTCTTATTGGAAATCTTTTGAACATCTTTGTTTTCACCATTTGGTCTCGTCCTCGACAACGAATAAATCATACTCTATTCAACAATCGGACAACAAATAGTTCGATGTATTTACTCATATCTTCACTAGTAAATCTGATAATCATTGGATATTCGTTCACAACTCGAATTCTTTTCGATGGTTATCAATATCAAGTAACAAGTAATTTGGTAATTCCTTTATGTAAACTTCGATATTTCTCATTACATACATTTAATACAATTTCATTAACATGTGTTTGTATGGCAACATTTGATCGATATTTGATTTCTTCACGAAATGTTCGTCTTCGACATATGAGTACAACAAGACAAGGAACAAAATGTGTTATTTCCACGATTGTTTTGTTAAATTTCTTACACGGTATTCCAATCGCTATTTATTATGATGTTTCCAAGGATGGACAATGTTATATTACTTCACAAACTTATTTATATTATTATCGTTATACATTTCAGATCATTCTTCATGGAATTTTACCAGTGACTTTCTTTTCCTTGTTTGGAGTTTTGATTTCTAAACAGATGAAAGAGATGAAAATTCGACAAGTTCAAAATAAATCAATGAATGTTGATAAACAATTATTACGAATGCTTCTCCTAATGTCAATAACGATCGTTCTCTCATCAGTTTCTTATTCATGTGAAAGTATTTATTATTTAATCTTTGTTGATAGCGATCGACAACAAAAAGGTTGGGTTTTATTCGCTCATAATATCTGTGCGCTTTTGTTTTATACAACTTCTGTTGGTAGTTTTTATATTTATTCGATTTCAACACGTAATTTTCGTTGTCAAGTACGAAAATTGTTTTGTTCGAGAAAGAATGTTTATCATACTCAAAATTATCGAATGAAAACAGTGACTAACACAAATTAACATTGTGTGTTCGTGTTTTGCATATGAAAATAAATTATGATTGTCTATTTCAAAGTTCAAAGTACCAAAATGCGTTGAACTCACTCAGAAATTGCGAGACAGACAATTAAGACTCGAATGCTTTTGGCACAATGTACTCGGATTTGAATTGAAGGAGAAAATATTTTAAAAAATAAGAAGAATTAATGATGATTTTATAGAATATATCAATTCTTCATTGATCTCGAAGTTCAAATTTTATATTCTATGAACTTTTGTTCCATTGTGTTGATAAAGTAAAAATCAATCCAACAGATAATTATTAACAAACTTGAACGATATAGAAAGTTCGACACTTTCCGCGAGTGATTTGTACTGCAAACAGTGTACTTTTATGATTCTATAAATGTAATTAAGTTTAGAATAAATAAATAATTCTCATTTTCAGTAGTACATTGTGTTTATTTTAATCTCATGTAAATAGATTCTCTCAGTCTACATGATTTCAACGATCATCTGAAACGTTTACTCGACCACACCCACGTTCTTAACAACGAAGGCATTGTCACCTTTTGATAAATATTTATTCACATTGTGTTTTGTTGACAATCGGAAACCATGATTAACATCTAAAATGGACTGCATTGCTCTAATATTCTCACGCGTGCTTGACAATCCTTGTCTCTAGGAGTATTTATCATATTCTTCTCTGATTTGTCATGAAATGAATAAAATTCTTATCTTTTTTATTAACTGATGAAGCACTTATAGTTCTCATTGTTGATATCGAATGAGATAAACACTGTGCTCGGTATTTTTCTTTTTTCTCATCTCATGTCTCAACTGTGTGTTGTTCCAACGTGTAAAATCAAATCTTCGACGTTGTGTTTGTGTTGTCAGAAGAACTTTTGTCATGATCATTTGACAGAACATAATGAATTAATTCGAATTGGATTTGAATGTTTGAAGGAGGAAATGATAAATTTGAATGAAGAGATGAAAATGATTGATTTGGAAAAGTTAATCGAAGTTCAACGTGAAAAACTCGACCAATGGAAGGACAATTGTCATGAAATGATTGAATGTTATTATAAACAAAAATGCGACGAATTACAACAATTTTCTCGTGAAAAATTCGAAAAACAACGTAAAGAATTGAGTCAAATCGAAACAAGTATCAATAATTATCATCAAAATGAAACAATTCTTCGAAAAGATCTTCAATCATTAAAATTATCTCTCTATGATCTTCGACAAGAAATCGATCAATTCAAACGCAAAGGTATTCAAATAACCATTCAACCATTTCTCTTGAACAATCAATCAATTTCTATCGAAGATTCCAAACCTAATGCATTTCACATCAATCACGCAGTTCTCACATCACCCGATCGAACAATCGAATGTACCAATGGTTGGCAATCAGAATTTGCAAGTAACGATCGATCCATTCTCATTACTCTCGCAGATAATTTATGTTTATTTGATCGAAATTTAACCTTAATTAAACAATCACCATGGCCATTTGAAGGCATTTATGATATGTGTTGGTCTTCGACATTAGCGAGTTTCATTGTTGTTACGGAAAAGAAAAAAGTTTATCGAATTAATGAAGTAACATTGGCAACTGAACGTATCTATGGAATTGAAGAAAAAGATTGGCTGGCTTGTACATGTTCAGAAGCGTATTTGTATTTAACAACGTATGAAATCGGCACAGATATTTTTCAATATAAACTATTACCATTAATTCGACCAGTTAAACAATGGCAACCACCGTTTTCTTGCAAACCACATGAATCTATCCATACTATTCGATCTAAAGATCGAACATTGGCACTAATCATTCGAGAATCATCAGGTGGAGCTATTGATATTGAACTTCGGTCATCGACGACATTGAATCGACTTTGGTCACTTCCATTGGATATTCGAAGTTCAGGTCTTTGGTCAAGAATTAATTGTTGTTCGTTACAGTATAATGAATGGTTAGTCGTACATACAGCAACTTCACGTCTTTTTCATATCGATAAAGAAGGACAATTGAAATTTGTTCACGAATATCAACCAAAATTGAACAATGCGACGATGTTCGGTTCGAATACATTGGTTATTCATTTAGGATCAAAAGTTCATTTTCATCAATTATCGTAGAAAATCACATCTCGTGGTAAATGATAGGAAAACAGATAAACAACTGCTTGGGCTATTTATACAACGCGTCACTTGTGGAAAAAACTTGTTTATCATAAAATAAACATTGATTTTTCTCTCTCGTCGATCACGACATGGAGTAAAATAAATGAGAAAAACGGAAATCAACTTCAACTAGATTGTCAGTTATGGAGATATGATGGTTATAAAAAAAAACTAATAAAATAGATGAAATATTGACAATATGCTCATCAATTATTGATATGTTGGTTGAGAATACAAGTGATCTTTTGTATAGAAATGTCAAAGCAATTGATATTCTCAACAGTTCCCGTCTGAATTTGATTACGATGACGTTCTATGCACTTTTTCTCTTTTTCTTTTTGTATCTCTTTGGCAATTGAGCTTAGTTTTCTCTATTACAACTCGATTTACGCACAAGAACAAACGATTTTTTTATAACTCGACTATTGAATTTCTCTTTTTATCAAAAGATTCCTTATGTCCTAATTTGCTTTGTATTATAATCATTTATCAACAAAGACCAAATTCTTCACACATTTCCAAGTAGGGAATACATTTGATTTGAAAAATAACTAAAGATGAAAAGTGTACGTTAACTGTTGACATACGGTCCGTACATAATGAATTCCGTATAATTAAGGGCGCCATTTGTGTTTTAAATTATTCATCTCAGAATAGAAAATTCATTGATTAAGTACGTTATTTTTCTTCCATGAGATAAAAACTGCTCGTTTTAAACTGATTTATTGACATTATAATTCTGCGCATTAAACTTCGAGAGCAAATCTTTGTGTTTTATTTGATGAATTACGATTAGACCACTGTTCTATTCCTGTTATTTTTGTATTTTCACCACATGAGGTCAATTAGTATAAGATATACAAAGAATATATTCAAACACATTTACATACTGAGATAATAAATCTTCTTCATATGAGTTTATTATGTCGTGTAAGACTTTCTTTCTTTCTCCCATAAGAATGTCATCAGTTGTGATAGGTAGCAGAAGTTTTGCCTATTTTGATTATCGGATGTGAGAATTCCTTGATTGCTATTGAGAAGATCCAGAAGTTCCACGCAGTCGTGTTTTTGTGAAGAATTCGAGCAGAGAATTTCTACTATCATATTCAATTAAAGTAGAAAAAACAAGAAAAGCGCATTGATATAAAACGTCATCACGAACGTTCTTCTATTTTATTCTGAGAAGCTTCTCGATGCTTTTTTTCTTACTTGAATATAAATATCAAGGCAGATTTCTTAGAAAAATGTATTCTTCGCAAACAACGGATCAAAAATTCAACATGATTGCTCGACGAATAATGATCTTTTTCGGCATTTTAATGTGTATTCTCGGTTTAATTGGAAATTGTTTAAATATCTTCATATTCACCGTTTGGTATCGTTCACGTAAATCACCAAATAAATTTTCCAATTTCAATCGATCAAGAAATAGTTTATTATATTTACTTGTTTCATCATTTGCCAATTTAATTATCATTATTTATCCTCTTTCGACTCGAATTCTCTTCGATGGTTATCAATATCATATCAACGAACCACAAATATTCATTTTCTGTAAATTCCGTTATTATATTCTTCATACATTTTATTTGATTTCATTAACAACAATTTGTATGGCGACATTTGATCGATATTTAATTTCATCACGCAATGCACATTTGAGAGAATTGAATTCAACAAAGAAACAAACGATTGTTATTATTGTTTTCATTTGTTTATTTATCGGATTACATAATATTCCAATTGTTTTTCACTTCAATCTTTCATTCAATGGAGAATGTTTGATATTCTCGTCGGCTTATTCATATTATTATTTATACATCGTTCGAATATCATTGGAAGGATTGATTCCGATCTTGTTTCTCTCGTTATTCGGAATATTAACATTTAAACAACTGAGAATATTGGAGAAACATAACGCAAGTAATCATCTGAATAGCGATCGACAAGTAGCACGAATGTTGTTATTGATATCGATAACGATTATCATCTCATCGATTCCGAATTGTATTGAACACGTGTATGAGATCGTATTTAGTTATGAAGATCGTCGACATTCATCAAGTTTCTTTCTATTTCATGTTATTTCGTCGATATTATTCTACATGAATCCGGTGATGAGCTTTTATATTTTTTATATTTCTACGCCAAACTTTCGCCATCAACTTCGATGTTTCATTCCGCATAAAAAAACAGTGAAATACTTCGTTAAACAAGAAGATTCTTCGAAAAGCGTACCATTAACTTGATAAAGAGTATTTTCGCCTGTCCAATATGTATGTCAAAGTCAAATTAAATATTATTGCCCATAATTCGGCTCTTGACCAAATGCGTATTAAAAGCAATTAAAAAGATGAAGAAAAAAAAGACGTGACATGTATTGAAATGTAAGTTAACAATAAATATACTAAAAATAGAAGTTATTTTTCATTAAAAATTTCTTTCTATGCTAAAAATAAAATTTTAATTATTCTTAACTAAACATTTTATGAAGTTATATAACAAGACAATAGGATCATTCACTTCTAAATACAAGGAAAAAAGAGAACATTTGCAATTCTCGAGTACCCATGGCTCTTTTTAAATCCTAGGATATATGACAATCCCCCTTTACCGCCTAGCGTAAAGTATCGTCAAGATGCATACCATCTAATCTCTGTAAGGTCATTATTATCGAGAATGAATGTTTTCATGTGTCGGAAACTGTCGTAGATCGATCAAACGAGCTTCTGCAGCACGAAAGAATAGGATGCAATTACATTTTCATGATATTTTGTGGGATAATAATTTTTAGTTGAGGAACAATCAGAATTCAAGACTCCTATGGTGCGATGATTTAATGTGACCTTCTTTTTTATTTACTATAATTCGACTAGAATAGGTTAATCAATGATGGTTTCTTTAGGCTGTATCAGCATGTGTAAAGTGAATTGATTAACAACAATTCAGTACGGTATGAGAAAAACAAATGAATTGTAACTGTTGTTATTTATGCGTGCAACAAAAAATGATCTTTTCTTTCGATCTTCTCATGTGTCTCAACTATCCATGAAAATATTTTTTTTCTCATAAGAATAACATTGTATTGATATCACAATGACATTCTATGTCATTGTGACTTTTCTCATCGCCCTTTTATTCGATCGTTTTCGATATACAGTCGCAGGTTTATGATTCGGTAACTCGTTGATTTATTTAAAAATTTTCTATCGATTATTGACAATCATTAAGAATGAAATCGCTCTAAATGTCGTGATATAATCTTGTTCTATTTTTTGTTTAATCATTAATGTTAGAGAAATTCACAATTGTGTCTTTATTTTCTCTGTACATCACAGTTTATTTGAAATGCGATTCACGATCGTATTTAAATCTCATATAGAATTCTCCAATGGATTCATAGTGCGTATTTATGGTGAAATAAGATGACATTTTTTAAAATATTGAGATCCGATCTTTTGGTTAAATACATCATGTGATTTGATTCATTTATAGAGTACCAATGAATCAGAAAGAAAATTATGATATACTATCACAATCGGTGGTCAAGACGGAAAACCGAATACACAACATGTAATTTCTTTTACGTACATGTGTATGTACCTGAGTAAATCACGAGAGCAAGAAGATTTTATTTTCTACACATGTGTTTTAAATTTTGTATGTAAAAAAAATAACTATTCCTAGATATTAGGAAAAACATGATGAAAGATCTTTGTTCACGATTTTTCTGTATAATTAACTTGTCATTGATTGACAAAAGTCAATACTCACAACTCATGCAACAAAATCATCTACCACAACGACATTATCGGGCCGCTCTAAGCCGAATTTCAATGAAAATTTACCATACTGCTGGCAATTCACTTCGCTGCTCCAGTATTTCGCTTCTAATTTGCGTTGTATCCATTCAACACGAACAGCTTACCCCTAAAAATAAGACCCAAAGTGAAAGGAAAAGATTATTACTTTCCATTGACAAAAATTCAATGAAGAGAAAGTAAATACTAACTAGTGGCATCAGAAACACACTGCGACGCTCAGATGGGCAACGTCAAATTAAAGTCGAGCCTGGTGGGACTGTCCCAATCTCTATTTTCCCCGAATCCTGTTCTAATCCTGTCAGAATCAGGATCAAGATCCTAGCTTTCGTACCATTGAGATATTATTCGAGACGAAAAAGCTTCGTCCCGACGGATCCTAACTGAGAAACCGCTGTGTATCGAGTAAAAATTGAATGTGTAAAAAAAACAAAAACGGTGTCGTGTCCCACACTTCTTAAAAACGTGCACAGGTTATTTTGTGACGCAGTAGTAGCTAGCAGCGCACTTGAATATTACCTGTTGATAGTCGCACAAGGATCTCGGATGGATAGATCTCATTATTCTTCACAAAAATGCTGTAACTGCGATAGAGCTTCTTTTGAGAAACCTCTATTATAAGCTACAAAAAGTTATTGCTGCTAACTTTAATGCATATCAACAAAATGGATTCTTTTGTATCAACTCAATACTTGACGATCATCGAATTAACACATTCTCTGTCAGTTCTTCAATCAATTATCTTCCCATGACGACCTATATAACTGGAATCCAACCATCATCGCACATCTAAGTAATTATCAATACCTTGACGTCATCGTTGCTGATTCAGCTACTGCAACTAGTAGTATTTGTCTCGGGACAGACTATGGAACATTTCTCAATCAAACTACTTTTCCAACTGGAAATCATTCAATACCATGCTCAGTTTCTGTTGTTTATCTCGATTACGATACTCCTTTGAATATTGCGGTTACAAGTTATGCTCATAGAAATGTGAAAATTGTTTTGATTAAAGATTGAAAGTTTTTCTTTTCAAACGACGTATTCAACTGGTTCATTATCTGACCCATATTCAAGTTTATCATTTGGAGAGACAAGGAGAAACAAATACGTTGTATCTAACTCTGATGTCTTTATTGAAAATAAAAGAAAAAGACAAAAAACGTCTACTAGTTTTCAACGGTTAATGAGCATATCGGCAGAATACATATTGTAAATTTTATCGGTGATCACCGGTTCAGAAAATTGAAATCGATAGTATACATTGTCTTGTTTTAATAATGTTGTTAATTCCTTGTCGGTGGTGTATCTGCTATCGTTGATAAAATCAATCATCGTTGAGTGTTCATAAAAATTTATCTTCGCCGTCTTACCTCAAGTCGAAGAATCCGACCGGCTCCAGAGTATTCCTGAGAAGGGATCCAATGACTGGATTTAGCGAGTTTCACCTAGAAACGGTCAGAACCTGCCATAAACGGCAGTCGGATATTAGCGGAATACTGCTTCCGAAATCATCGTCCTGGGATAATGATTCCGGTTTCCGGTGATCCGGGAAGTGAAAGCAGGAATGATTTAACCGGATCCTGCGACTAGTTTTACCTGACTCATCTCAGTTGTAGATAGGACCAAATGATTCCGTGAGCCGGATCTATTCGAAAGATCTCTGCTTCCATTTTCGGTTGATTTCATATATCTTCCTTCCGGATCCAACCCGTACTTTTCGACATGGGTAATCATAAAGCCATGAGGATTTGGCTTGTTCCTGTAATCCAAGACAGCTTGCGGCGCCGACGATGCAGGGAGCACTTGAAGAAATTTTTGCTTAATGTAGATTGACATACTCATGAAGATTATACAATAATAGTAGAAATTGAAATCTAAGCAAGAAAGAAATCAAAGAATAGCGATCAGTTATAGATTTAAACTAGAATGGGGAGAAGCAACAATAAACAACCAACTATGATCGAATTCAAATTCACATCGAATGCTCCAGACGAGCTAAATGAATAAACATACATATTTATACTGCGGTTTCACCAAATAGAAATGATTTCGATAGACGTAGTGTCGATAATATATTATAGTACTTTGCATTAATGGATTCGACCACCCACCCTTAAGATTTTTTGTTGGGTGTAAATGCTACGCAAGTTTATGAAAAATGAATTGTTGATTATGTATCAGATGCTGTTTCATATAGTACAGTTCCTAATTGGGCTCAACGATTTTCAAGCGGGCGAGAGTCATTGAAAGATGATCCTCGAGTCGGTCGTCCAATAACCGTTGTTACTCAACAAAATATTGCTACTGTGAAATGTCTGGTGGCAGATGATCCACATATTAGTATAGATTATATTGCTGACGTATTAGACATATCATGTGAGAGTATTGATACAATTCTCAAACATCGTCTTAAGCTAAGAAAAATGTCTTCAAGTTGGGTGCCTCATAAGCTTACTCAGCAACAACGATAAAAACGTATGGATATTTGCATCGAAAACTTACAGAAATTTGAAAATATAGAACTTGGAGATTAGGTGATGTAGTTACTGGTGATGAAAGTTGGTTCTATCACCGCGGAATCAAATTAAGAGAAACTTCAAAGGTATAGTCATCGAAAGAACAGCAGCCTCCAACGGAAGTCAGAAGACAACAATTCGAAGCAAAAATGGTGTTTATTATCTTTTTTATGACAACTGGACCATTGCTTATTCATCCATTGCTATCAGGAACATCTATCAATGCTTTATATTATCATGATGAATGTCTAAAAGGTTTTGTTCGAAAGTTACGGAAGAAAAGACCATTATCAACAACACATGGTATTAAACTTCATGAGGGTGTATGCTGTTCTTTTGTTCTTCTTAATATTCTTGATTAATCACAGATTCATTGTAATTAGCAAAAAACTTTCGTCGAGTATAAATATTCTTATCAAATTCTCATTCTCTAAATACTAGAGTATACAAACAACTATAGTGATTCGTCTCTGACACATTGACCTTTAATTGATTTGATTAAAACTCAGTGCTTGTATGACATTCTGCATTAATGTAAAAACAACATTGATAACATCTTCACTTGTTATTGTTTTCTTAATTAAAGAGAACACATACAACTGGTCGATATTGCGAGACTTATTTGATGAATGTCAAATAAAAACAAAATTTTTCCAGTAAAATATCCAATGAAATAGTATAATAAAATAAAATTCATTTTTACGTGTATTTATTCGCTTTTCTGTTACTGTTGACGAAGTTCATGGTCGGAATTCGGCTTGTAGTTTTTTGTGTTGATGGTGGAGGAGTTCTTGGCATTGGAGGGGTTTTTGGCGGAGTTTGAATACTATTTGTCATTACTGATACATCTTTCTCATTCTGTTGAACAAGTAATTGACATTTCGTCAATAAACGGAGATGAAGCAATTCGAAATCAACGCCTAATTTTTCCTTATTCATGGTTTCTAAATAAGGCTCACCACCATAGATCAATTTTTTTTCACTTGATTCCTCCCATTCAGCCACCATTCGATGTAAATCATCAGTTAACTTCGGAAATTCACGTGAGAGATCTTTTCCTAAAAGGAACAAGAGAGAAATCAAACTTGGATGTGTGAAAGTGAGTCTTTACGGAATTTTTCTTCTTTTAATAATTGAGTTGAATTCCCTCGAAGTCTTGCTGGATCTCCTGCATGTTTCTCAAATTCCACCATTTCTTTTTTGTACCATTCTCGTTTTTGAATTTTCACCAAAATCGTTCGAATAGATTCGACATAAACTTCGAGTCGATGAATTTCATCATTCATTGCTAAATAATCATCTTGATTCTCTTTTGTTTTAGGAATAATACGTTGATTCTCAGGAACATCTAATTGATCCCATAAAGACGTGAGCTTCTTGCGAGCTTCTGCACGTAACGATGCAGTTAATCGTTCGTATGTTTGACGAATTTCGTCCAAAGTTGAACGCGATGTTAATTTATGCGGAAAATCTTTCAATAAACTTAAATATCTCTTTCTCAAACGTAAATCTGCTAATTCTTCTCGTAAATCTTTCGGAGGCGATGGTTCATTTTGTTCAAGTTCAGCACGAAGACGAACAACTTCCTCTCGAAGTTTACTGATCAAAATCTCGTATTCGCTTGAAAGTTTTGTACGTAGCGCTTGACCGTTCAACGGCTGATGCGTTGTTAACCATGACAATTCATTGTTAGTTGATAAATAAGATTTGACATGAGTAGATTGCTGAGATGTCGATTCCGGATTGAGAGATTGAATCTGATCGAGAAGATGTTGAATTTCTTGCTTTAATTTGCTAAGCTGATCGATTAAATCAGATAGAATTGAATGAGCGTCATTTGTCGACTTAATCTAAAGAGAAAATCTTGATCAATGACGAAAATATTTTTCCTTTTCAATGGTTTCATTTCTGATTCTTAAGTACTCTAATATATCCCATAAATTATGTATTCAAAATGCAGAAAAAACATCGCAGAATTTTACATATTTAGTTAATGACCAAATAAGAAGCAAATCTAACGTCGACCCTTCGATAAAAGAGTGGCGTGATAGACTAATATTATGAACAGTATGCCTATTGATCTAAGAAACGATCAAACTTTCGAATCGAACACGATGGAGATTGATAAGAGAAGACAAACGAAGGTATAAAGGGAAAAAGGTAGAAGGTCGTCATAAAGAATCGATCAAAGATATTTCCCTTGACTCATACAATAGAATTTGTTCATTTAATAAAACATTAACCACATCCGTATCCTTCGGAATACATCAATGAAAAGAAAATGAATTTTTTCTTCTTACCTCGTCAACATTGATATGAATATTTCCAATAAATTTCATTTTTATTGTAATTGATTCTCTCAGCTGAATCAATTCTTTATCACGTTCAAGTATTAATTCTTTTAATTCATCGATTTTCTCATTGATCAATTTTCGTTGTGCCATCAATGTCAATTTTTGTCTATCGATTGAAATCCTCGGTAATTGAAGTTCATCGAATAATTGAAACATTTGTTCCACTAAGTTCTTCACGTGATTTTCCAATTCATTTCGTTCTTGTTCGTAAATCGCTAAACGTTTCCGGAAGAATTCTTGAGTATCTTCGATAAATGCTTGACGTTCTTTGTCACGATCAAGATCTAAATCTTGAAGTAAATCTTCTAGACGTAGCCAGGTTTGATTGGCGATTTCGCCAAGGAGGTGCATGACTCGACGGTTTTCCGCGTGGCCTATGAAAGAGAAAAATATCACAATAATGTGTCATATGTGTCGACTAAACTCGCAGCTGACGAAAAAGAGAAAACGAAAAACGAGGTGGCAGCAGATTGAAGCAGAAAGAGAAGGAAGGAGCTATTGAATGAATACAAAAGAGAACAAGAAGAGAATAGGAGAGAAGAAAAAAAGTGGATTTGATCGATGTTCATTGAATGTGCGGAAGATGATGATGTAAAACGAAATAAAACACGTTTCGTAGACCTTTTTTTTTCAAATTTCGTTCTTTTTTTGTGTTATCTTTATCAATTTTGTTGACTTTTATTTATGATTAATCTTAGAACAACGTTTGTTGAAGATAATGATAAACAAATGTTAAAATTGTCTTTTCGCTTAGACTTTTATTGAACAATCAAGCGATTTTCGTGTCTGATGAATGAAAACAATGTTTTCTTCGGGGTAAAACATTATCTTAGCAGTAATATGAACAACTTGTGAAAGAGTTTGAAAATTTTTACATCAATTCAATTACGTAATTCCATTATTGACCATGCATCACGTAGTTTTATAAAAAGGAAAGAATTTCGCTGACCGATAGAAGAAATTTCGACATTTTCATTTCGTAACTTGATCATCTCGCTCATTTTGACACGCAATTCTCAAACTAATAAACTTCAACATACAAATTTGTCACTGACGAGTTTAGACGATCGTCAGAACATTTTATGATTCAATATTCCTTATGAACTAGATGTCCAAACAGACAAAAACTTGACTTTTGACGAAACCCAGAATTGTAATCGGATGTTGCATGACTTTGACGACTTGTCAAAATAAAGGTTAACCTACTTTTGTTAAAAAGAGCACTGCTGACAGGAAGATTATTTTGAGATAATCTTCGACTGATATAGAAAACTGGAAAGATTTGTGATTGCATGATTTGTCCTATCACCAGACGAGAATTCTTGAAAATATTTTACATATTGATCATCAAAAAAAATCGATGTCAACGAAGGATTTTTTTCACGATAGATTTCTGATTATCGTGAGATGAAAAACACCCACACAAAGATAGAAGAAGAGAAATTGCAAGGCAAAACGAGTAAAAATACAAAGAACAGAAGGAGTTTAGACAACACCGGCAAATATTAAGAAGAAAACGAAAACGCACAATTTGAAAAATCGATTCTATGCTGAAGAAGTTGATTCTTTCAATTTCGTTTCGATATTTTCGGTCGGAGGCGAAGGCGAATCTTTTTCTCGTTTAACTTTTTTCGATGATCTCGATGAAGACGAAGTTGACGAATGAGATCCAGGTGATGTCGATACTTTCGGACTGATTCGAGGTGTTTCATCAGTTGTGATTTGTTCAGATTTTGACGAAGATTTCAATGTTTTACTCATTGAAGCAAGAGCAGCGCGTTCGCGTCCATTGATCTGTTCATGCTGTTGTCGAATTGAATTGAGAAAATGTTCGCGCTGCATTAGTGCAGCAGTCATTGCCGACGAATCGAGATTTGGAAAAAGATTCGGTGAACCATTCGGACGAAATGTCGGTGAATCGAGATTTGGCGGAAAAAAATTATTTGAGGAGGAATTTGCTGCGGCGTTAAATAGAGATGCGTAAGCAGCAGATAAACGTTGTCGCTCGATCATTGATAACGTCAATGGGTCTAGAGCACCGAAGGTTGGTGGAAGAGGAAGTGAAGGTAAACCTGATGAGGATGACTTCGACGTATCTGAGATATTTGCCGATTTTATAGTAGGTGAATGACGTTTCCGTGAAGATGAATGTGATGGTGGAGAAGATGAGGAAGTTTTAGTTAAGAAATTCGACGAGTGATGATGATGTTGATGATGAACTGATGGATGAGGTGAACGAGAACGAGAACGATTCGATGATGAAGAATAATTGGCATTTGCTAAATGTGCTGGGGGAAGCATTAAATGAGAAGAAGATCGACGATCATCGTCATTATTAAGAACAGATGATGAACGTTTTTTACTAAAAATGAAAACGAATAAGATTTTAGAAATTGCTTTCTGAAGAAATTGATGTGAACCTACTTGTCGTAATTACTATTAGATGTGTCATCGAGTTTCTTCGATGATGAATTCTCATTTATGGATGAAAGAGATGGCATAGGTGGAATCATTGGTGCTGGTCCCAAGCCACGATGAAATCGTGACCAATCAAGACCAAGAGCAGCAGCTGCGGCTACTGGCCCATTCATATCTGGTTTTCGATCAATCGTCAAGGAAGACGAAGGAGGACGAGGTGGGAGCGGTGTTGAAGGAAATAAAGACCCCAGGCCACCGAATGCAGTTGTTGACGACGACGACGACGATGATGATGGAGGAACACGACCAAATGGTCCGTTGTTGTTGAAACCAGCAAAATCAAATGGCGATCGATAATCTTAAACAAACAGAAATAGATTCAAACCTTTACTTTTAGAAAAAGATCAATACTGAATGCTGGCGGAGGTAAAAGTGGTGATTGATACGTCGAAGGTAATTGAAGAGGTAGGTCATTAGTTGCTGATGGTAAAAGCGGCTTTGTATTTGTGATTAAATCAGGTAATTTTGTATTTAATGAAGATTTTTGTTGTTCTTCGTCTTTTTTATTATCTGATGGAGATAATTTTTCTTTCGAACGTTGTTGTTGATGATAAATCATCCATGATATTCTCACATGTGCTGCACACCATTTATCCGATTTCTACAATCAAGGAAAGAAGATCAATCAAAACTCTTTCATTGATTCGGCGTACTTCTGATGATGGTGATGACACGAGTTCTTTCGTTGATGAATTGTTATTATTATTATTATTATTATTATTAGCTGAATTGAATGGTGGAAAGATTGGCGGAGGTGGTGGCAAAGAGAACTAAAACGACGAAATGAACATGTCATACAGAAAAAAAACTTTCCGCTTTACATTATTCGTTCGCAAAAATGGTGAAAGCCCGTTGTCTGATTTGGATAATTTGTCTATCTGAATAAAAAATTAGATTGTTAAATCATTCTGATCATGTCACGAAAGAAACTTAACGTACTAATGAATTATTAATAGTTCCGTTTATTAACGAATTATTCGATGGTGTTAAAATGTTTAAATTATGTTCATGTGTGTGTGTATGTTGATGATAATGTTCGGCACGAAGGAATGGGGGTAAGAGAAAAGCTGGAAGTCCATTTCCATCTAAAGGTAAGTTTGTCGTTCCAGGTGCCGTTCGAGTGGAATTAATATCGTGTAAATATCGCGCGTTTAATTCGCGTAACAAATCCGGATCAAGTGAAAAATCTGTGGAAAAGAAACAAAAGTTGAAGATTGAGGAAAAAGTTCAGGTTTACTTGGTGTTGCGGATGTTTTTCGTGACATAGATGATAATAATTTATTTGAACGATGATCTTCTAAACGAAGAGAAGAAAAAATGAATTGTGTTCAAGGTTATCAAGACAATATTTGATGTGTTTTATTTCAATGTTGTCAAATCGATTAAGAAAAAAGAGACATAAGGATCAAGCGCAATGTTGTCTGAGCTGGATA